GGTCTTTGCCCACGAAAGCTTATGCTCCTACACTTCAGTTAGTCTATAAGGTGCCACAGGACTCCTCGTCGCTTTTGCAGATTCAGACTAACACGGCTACTCCTCTGATACTTTCCTAGATCAGAATCCTAGATTTGCTCCTCAGAAAAGATCACTTGTACAGACTTCTTTTGGAGCTATACAAGGAAAACTTAGGTTCTGAGCCTGCAACTAGTGGAATATATTGCAGGATTAGGGCCTAAATTCTTTTAGATTTATTCTTTCTGCATGATTTGATGATGGTGGCTGCTTATTAATATTTTTAAAGAATTCTTTTTCAACCTTCAAAAGTGCGGTACTATTTCCCTTGTGATGATTATGCAAATATTTCCTAGTGGAACTATTTGATTATTTTGGTGTTGTGCAGTTTGAATTAATGGAAAGACACTCAGAGTTTGGGATGGATGCTTATTTAGTGTTTCTTTCCAGTATCTCTGGGCTGTTTTGGCATAGGGAGACAGTCATGACTTTGAGGGAGTCCACCTTACAAGGCATTAAAACACCCTAAAAAATCCCTAAAGGTATGTCTACACTACAGAGAAAGATCAAAGCCTCTACTGTCAATCTTCCAGGGTTAGAATTAGTGGGTCTAGTGAAGACACGCTAATTTGAACTTAGAGGGGCACGCTGCTTGATGCGGGTAGTCCTGCTTCCATGAGGAGTAAGGGAAGCCAAAGGAAGAGTGTTCTTCATTCAACTTCCTGCAGTGTGGATAGCACCAAAAGTTGAGTTAAGTTACTTCGACTTCAGCTACGCAATTAATGTAGCTGAAGTTGCTTATCTTAATTCAACCTCGTCCCATAGTGCAGACATACCCTAGGAGTGATGCAAGTGGTAATGCAATAACTTCACAATACAGATATCCCTGGTTACATGCCTTCCTATTACTTCCCTCAAGCAGACAAAGGCCCCGATTATTAGGGTGTTTTGCGGGGGGGGGAGGGGGAGAAGGGGGAAGCTCAAATCTTGTGAATGCTGGACATGCATGATCCAAAGGGAGGCTTTAATCACAAGAGACCCCCAAATGAGGGAGCCTCTGACTGCCCCTAAACCAAGGGTTTTCCACATCCTCCATCCCTGTAATACAAGACTTCCCAAATGCGCCGCTTCTCATCTCCTATGTACTCTGTCCTGGGCCATGAGAGTGCCCCCTCCTTTTCCCCCAAATGGATGTCTCTCATCTCCAAGGTGCCCACTATAAGGGAGTGCCCCAGTTTCAGTTGCCATCTCTCCCAAACCGGGTGCCCTTACTGTCAAAGATGTCTGGTTCTTCCATTGGCAATCTCGGGTCCAACCTTTCCTGGCAATAGTGGTGTGACACTGCCCTTCCCCCATCCTTCTCCATCCTCCTTGCACCAGCCCTGCTTCCCAATGAGAGTGGAAGAATCCCTCCCCTCCTCCACCCCCAAAACTGGAGCTGGTGGTGGGCAGGAGCGGCCTGAGGCCGGCTGCGGCAGCTGGCGCCCCAGGCAGGCAGCGCAATTGGCGCCCCTGCCTGCATGGCCGTCAATGGCCGTGACATTGTCACAGGGCGCCCAGGCGCCCCGTGACATCATCATCGGGTGCCCGGGCCAGCGGCGCTCTAGGCAACTGCCTAGTTCGCCTAGGCTCAAGGGCCGCCCCTGGTGGTATGTAGAAAGCTGCTCCCTGTAAGACTGTGCTACTTAGGAAAAATTTAGGGGCACTGAGTATGTAAAGACGCACTGAGCATGTTGAGTAACTCTGCTGAGGCCACTGCCCTTCTCCTGCCCACACTATTAGGGTTGCCAGGTATCCAGTTTTCACCCGGACAGTCCAGTATTTGCGGGCTCCATCCGGTAAGAAAAAACAGGAAATACCGGACATGTGCAATGTCCGGTATTTCCTGTTTCCTAGGGACAGAAGCCCGGGGTGGACAATTTCCCCCCTGCTGCAACTGGCGGGTGCAGAGAGTGAGGCACGCAGCAGAGTCTAGCGAAGAGGGGGCAGGAGGGGGCAATTGCCAGGTACCACGCTAGGTCGGTGCCGGGCTGGGGTGGGAGCGAAGCGCACGCTGCTTTGGCCCACGTGACCAGCAGAAACTGGGAGCTGGCCACATAATGACTCCCTCTCTCTACAATGCAAGCGGAGGCAGCCAGACCAGGCAGCAAGAGCAGCCACTTTAAAAGTCAAATTGTTCCTCCTTGCCTGGCTCTGCAGGGGGAGGGAGGAGGGAGATTTGATTGGAGCAGGGGCTCCTGACACTGAGGATGCCTGCCTCAGGGGGAGGGGGGAACGCACTGGGATGGGGGGACACTAGGGGGACCTGGCTCTGAGGCAGGGGTGAGTGCATTGGGATGGAGAGACTGGGGGGCCTAGCTCAGGGGGAGGAATGGGTGCATTGGTGGCTTATGTGTGGTCCCAAACTGGAGGGAATGGTGCAACTTTTGCTTAACAACTTTGGTCTTCCCCCTTTTTCCCCCCTCAACAGAATTTTTCCCTGGTGCTTTTTTTTGGGGGTAGGGGGGTGGAGAGTTCGGTATTTTTTGTTAAACCATCTGGCAACCCTAGCTACTAGAGCAACACAGAGGGCAAATCCGCAGCACAGGCAGGACAGAAGGGGTAAAAACAACCACCCCAGTGGGAATGAGGCATTAGTCAAAGGGTGGTCATAGCAGAGGGGCTTTTTTAATTTGCTTAAACCTGCTTTTTTTTATAATTTATTCAAAGCGGACACACTGAGCGTGCTTAGTAGGTCTGCAGTCACCCCTACCCTTCTCTCTTCCCTTACTATGTAGAAGTTTTTGCTTACTACATTTTAAAAGGGTTAAAAATGGAAAAGGGGGCTAAAGAAAGGACATGAAGTCTCTAACATTTCACACATTTGTGTTGTCTGCTGCTGATGAATCACTGAATTGCAGTCCTTTCACTGTAACTCATTTTAATTGTAGTTTTCTCCTTTGCAAATGTTATTTCTATTGATTTAATTACTCCATGCAATACATGTCATTTTTGTTTTTTGTTTTAATAGCTAATGCTCAAAAACACTTAAATAAATAACAATTATTTTTGCGATTTTCTTATACACTAGCTATCTTTTATTTTTATTGTTATAAAAATACAATATATTGAGGGCCTAAAATCCATGCATGCAGTCTAATGAAAAACATTCCCACTGCTCCCCGTCCCACTCTCTGTTTGAACCAAAGCCAATCAGCAAACATGGGAGAAGATACCCTAAATCCCCCTGAAAGCTCCCCTAGCCTCATGCGCATCACTCATTAGTATACAGAGTGGAGAACACAAAATTCAACACAAGAACCGCACCGAACGCTGGGACACAGAAAGCAGGGAAGCACTGCCTGATGGGCAATCCTTGCTCCAGATGCTGCCAATGACCCCTTGCCTCCACACACCCTCATCAATAATTAATCTGGTCAATTCTAGGAAAAAGTCCTGTATGGTATCCAAAATATTAAAGCTGCCTAATTGAATTATGAGGTCCCTGTAAGGCAGGGATGGAGAACCTATGGCCCGCAGGCTGAGATGCTCTGGACTCCCTCCTGCCCCCTACAACAGGGCAACCTGGCTTTGGCACTCCAGCTCTTAATACATTTACAAATCAGAAGTGTAGCGGGAGGGATTTGATGTGAGCTGGAATAACAGATTCCCGGATCCCCCTTCCCTGCGCACCAGCCTTTTAAATGACTAGTCAATGAGTTGATTAAACTAAATTTAACATCTGCATCCCTAGTCTAAAGCCATCCCTCTGAATTTGCTACCCACTGGACCAGAGGGCGTGAAAGGAACCTTTTGACCAGTAAGTTGTCAAAATGCTGGCACAGGCGTTGGGGCAGAGGGATGACAGTTAGCACTGAGGGACCCCAGTAAGTTGTCAAAATGCTGGCACAGGCATTGGGGCAGAGGGATGACAGTTATCACTGGGGGACCTGGGTCCCCCCATCACCAGTCACCTCTGCTGAGGGCACTTATAAAGGTTGTAGGTGATAACACATTGGGAAGGGGTTGCAAGTGCCTTGGACCACAAGCTAAATATGATTCAACAGTGTAAAACGCCTGCAAAAAAAGGCAAGCCCCCATGTTGTAAGCCAGACACAATGGCTACGTCTAGACTGGCATGATTTTCCGGAAATGCTTTTAACGGAAAAGTTTTCTGTCAAAAGCATTTTCGGAAAAGAGCGTCTAGATTGGCACGGACGCTTTTCCGCGAAAGCACTTTTTGCGGAAAAGCGTCCG